TTGACACTGGCCATGCATTTTCGCAAATGTTCAACAAGAACCTTCATTTTGCGGGTTTTTACTTGTTCAGGAACTCCCACAACGTGGTCAGTCATGCACTTAGCTATCGCCATCTAAAAATAAAAAAAAAAAGAAGCTTTACCAAAGCTTAACTGTGCTCATATCCACTGTTTAGTCTCAGCAAACGTTCAGCAGACTTCGGTGATTGTCATTGGGTGTATTTTGGCGGGGGTGGGGGCCATGGACGAGTTCATCTCTGCTTCGTACACCATTTTACCAGACTGCTATTTGTGACAAGGCCACAAATCCTATGGATTATTGCCGATACCAGTCAAATCTGCTTCTGAAGAAGCATTGCATTCTGAAATGCCATTATATATATATATAGAGAGAGAGAGAGAGAGAGAGAGAGAGGAGGAGAGATACTGAGCTACAAGCTTGCAGAAATGGCTATTATACGATACTAGCGTTGTTTCTTACACGTAACCCAATACTATGGCCTTGTGTCAAACAAAGCTTAGTAATTACATATATATGCTTTACTAGGCTGAACTTAGTAAATACATATATGTGCGTGTGTATGTGCGCGCACATATGTGTGTGTGTGCACGTGGTGCGTATGTTTGTATGTGTGTGTGTGTGTGTGTGTGTGTGTGTGTGTGTGTGTGTGTGTGTGTGTGTGTGATACTTACGGGTGTCCCATTATGTTTCTCTTGTGACAGACTAAGTTAATCATAGTATATATATATATATATATATATATATATATATTATGATGCTAACCGCAATTGCTTTTTTTGTTTGTTTGTTTCATTCCGAGGTGACGTTGCATAAAACAATATTTTTTACTATAAAAACTAAATTTGATTGAATAAAGTGTATGAATATTAAAAAAAAACTGAAGACTAAAGGCTGATGTTAATTTATATTTAACGTAGATGTGAAGTTTTACAGGCACGTCTGGCCAAATATCGTTTTTTTGTTTTTCTATTTGTTTTTTAACATAATGAATTTTCACATGTATAGTATATAAATCAAGGAAACCTTTGAAAAAAAAAAACTTTTATTTATTTTCCAATTTGGGATTTTACAATTCGGTTTCTATATACAATTTTCCGAGTGCGCGAATCAAATTTCGGGATTTTTTTTTTTTTTTTTGCTAATATCTGAAACAAATCCAGGAAAACTACCAAAGAGCTACTTCGATGAAGCTAAATCTTCTTTTATTTTACTTCGCCTGTCAGATCAGGATGAATTTCTACACGCATACAGGGTCAGTATCAACAATTTTTATTTGTTCAAACCCTCGGATCAAAAGATGAACATAGACATACGTATCGATAATGAGTGATAAAAACAGCACGCCAACAAAGTGATGCCGTGGCACAATTATACAAAGCTCAATAATTCCGTCATGACACCCAGTCTGACAACAGTATACCGTGCACACGCAATACAGCCAAATGGGTGACGTGATAGCAGGTTTCGGTCAAATCAGTTAAACCAACTTTAGAAATGCATTCAGGTTGCAAATGCATCCACTAACACGGTCTTCGATTGAACGTGTCCTCAAGTATCGAGATGCGGTTATCTCATCCTTCAAATTTTAAAAGAAAAAAAATAACAACATACTCGACACGAAGCCATGACGTTTCCCAATTATTCCCGCCCATGAATAGATATGCATAATATATATATATATATATATATATATATATGATCGTACTCGATTGGAAAAATAGGGAATAAAAAAGAGAGAACCAAGAACATTAAACCAAGGCGAAAACAATCGTCAAGTGTTTAAGCTCCAAGTCCAAAGAAAAAAAAAATTCAAAACGAGTAAAAAAACAACTACGTAAAATGCTCAATACATTAAGTAGAACAAAATCTAAGATAATCCTAAGGAGCCAGGCAAACCTACCTAGGTTTTACATAAACGGATCTTCAGGGTAAAGACGGCTCCCCTGAAGATCCTTTTAGGTCAAAATTCGGTTTTCCTGGCTCCTTAGGATTACCTGCGAAACCATTTGACACTGTAATATATATATTAATCGTCTCATGACAAACAAGACGATAATGTTACTAAAACTCCAGCGGCTACTGGAAGTGAAAGAGAAGGGAAAACATCGAAAGGAACCGGAGACCCAATCCTAAAAAGGAAACAAGGGATTAACCTCAACCCCTGTTCAAGAGAGCGGGGAGGAGGGTGACCGGATGATAGACCAACATTTATAATTTACACCCACAATCAACCAGAAACCACGACAGATATGCCTGGTGTAGCATCAAGACATTTGTTATTATTATTAATAATAAATATGTTTTATTATTGATAATGCTCGTTGAGACATATGTGCCACATAAATTAGTATGCACACATGTAAAGACACACACACACATATATATTCTATTGCTACAAACGTTATCTTGTGGTTACGTATGTTTGAGTAGACGCCCTGTTTCTGGAAACAGTGTAAAGTACGTCTATCTGCTTGCAAAT